AGGATGAGAAAGTCAAATATATAAAACGGGAAAGGGAGAGATTGCAAAGGTATGGAAGCCTGTTTCTGCCACTGAGAAATTATAATTTTTTTCCTCCAGAATTGTGAGAAACTTACAATTGCAAGTTATAAAGTCCAATTTTGAGGGGGGGGGGACTGCTCAGAATTGGGAGTTTATATCTCATTATTATTTATATATGTCACTCACAATTCTGAGAGTCACAATTACGAGATTTAAAGGGTTAGTTCACCCAAAAATGAAAATTAGCCCACAAATTACTCACCCTCAAGTCATCCTAGGTGTATATGACTTTTTTTTTTTTCAGATGAATCCAGTAGGAGTTATATAAAAAATTGTCTTTGATCTTTCAAGCTGTTTAATGCCACTCAGCGGGTGTTGCATGCATCAGTCCAAAAGAAGTGAAATAAAAAGCGCCCATCCATAAAAAGTGTATTACATGGCTCTGGGTGGTGAACAAAGGCCTCCTGTAGCAAATCGATGCATTTTTGTAAGACAAATATCCATATTCAAAACGTAATCACTTTAATGTAGTTTGTGCCAACAGTTGTACATGGAAGCAGCTCCGGGAGGATGACGTATGAGGTCAGCGTTGCGCATGTGCCGGTGAGTCTCGTGAAAACCAACGTTTGTTAACGGGAGCAAAGGAAGCAAAGTTTCCTTACTTTAGCAAAGGAAAACCAGTTTCCTCTTGGCTTCTATCGAAATCCTCCGACATTCTTCTTTACAAATCCTCGTTTTGTACTTCTAATAAGTGACCTTTGTTTTGATCTCTCCGTTGCGCTTCCTCGTTCGTCACTTCTGAGCAGCGCATGCACAACTCCGGCGTCCTACGTCAGCCGCCCGGAACTGCTTCCATTTACAACAGTGAGCGCAAGCTGATATGGATATTTTTCTGGATATTTTTGTAAGACAAATGGATCGGTTTGCTACAGGAGGCCTTTGATCACCCCCCAGAGCTGTGTGAGACACTTTATTTAACTTATTTTGGACTGATGCATGCAACACCTACTGAGTGGCATTAAACAGCTTGAAAGATCAAAGACAATTTATATAACTCCGACTGGATTCGTCTGAAAGAATAAAGTTATATACAGCTAAGATGATTTGAGGGCGAGTAATTTATGGGCTAATTTTCATTTTTGGGTGAACTAACCCTTTAAACAAGACTTTTGAGAAAGTCGCAATGACCTTTTTTATTTATTTTTTTTATTCAGTGGCTGAAATGGGCTTCCATACTGAGGGAGAGAAGATAGCAGGTTTAGAGGGTAAAGAGAGAGATGGGGGCACGGAGGAAGAAAAGGTTATCTGCACTGTTTTTTAGATGTTTTCCAACAACCACACAAGTAATTTTACAGCAGTTACTAGTATACTATGTAAAATAAAGTGGTGTATAGAGCGGTTTAGTTCTATTTGTGTTTTGCTGTTGTGCAGTTTTACAAAATACATTGTTCATACACATTACACTTAACATTTACTCTAATGCAGCAGTACATTTACCAACTACATTACATACTGACCATTGCCAATCCATGCTACATTACAAATTACTCGGTCATTTATTTAATACTTACAAATGAGCTAAGCAAGCTAAATGACACCAGACAAAGGAAGTAAAACAGAAAGTGTTCATAGCTTTATTTAAAACAAATCTAAGGAAGTAAAATTGTCACTATTACAGAGGTAAATCTTTAGAGCAGGCCATGAATCCCACTTCTGTTGTTGTAGATCCTGAATGTGAAGTTTTGCTTTTATTTTTTAACTGGGATCCAGGGGCCCTCAAAGTGTGCTAAAATAAAAATTCAGAATTTTACATTATTACCATTTTAATTTCCTTTCTAAAGGCTAGTTGAAAATCATGAGATAAATCACAATTATTTTATTGTTTTGACAGCCATTGTTAAATGTTTCTAATTGTGGGTAGAAAAATTATACAAAGTTAACTTATTCAAAAGTAATGTTACATGTGTGTATATATTACAAAAAAGCTATTAAAAGCTATAAAAAGTTTAGATGTTTATTTACATCACAAGGGTGATACCTAAACATATACCGTATGTGTTTTTGTTTAGTGTCTGTTCTAACGAAAGCATATTTTATCTTAGCTATATGTTGGAAATTAGATAACTATTGTGAGGAAAGACCTTTTTCCATAAACTACAGAGTAAAATATTACATGCTGATTTGTAGAAGGTTCTGTGTGCCACAGCACAGCTCACATTAAAGATTACAGTAAAGATATGAAACTACACTGTTAACAGTTCTGACCAAATGAGGAAAAGAGTAGGAACAAACACACACACATTCTCACCGTGATGGTATTGCAGCCTTCCACTAAAGTGTCTGTGGGTTTTGAAGTCAGACCTCACTTTTTTTTCTGACATTTAGGTCACAATGTGTGATTCAGAGCAGGTAACAACAGATAGCCTATTTGCAGATACATTTTGCTAAAAATATTCCTGCCCCTATTCAGAAAGAAATAAGAGTGATGATATTATTCAGAAATGTTATTAAAATAAATTAAATGTTTAGGTTTAAAACACTTCATGGCAGTAGTTTTTGCTAACATAATACACTTTTTCCTCATCTTTACAGTTGGTGTAAAACCTAGTTTTAGAAGTATAGAACTGCCTCATTGTCTCAAACTTATGATAGCCTAACAGTAGCCTATTTGAAGAAGCTGTTTTAGTTTGGATGTCCTCAATAATGCTGATTGCTGTAATCTAATCACACAATAAATTCTCAAACTGAGGTCTCATGTTGACATTTTCTGTGTGTGCCTCAGGGGTTTATTGCTGCATGAACAGGAAGGAAGGCAAGAGAATTCAAACACAAGTGCAGAGGGTGAATAGAGGTAGCGGGGCTTTCCAGCACAGAGGGCAGAAAAAGAGTAACAGAGGGGGTTAAGAGCGGGTGACGTAAAAACGATACAGAAAGGAAAGAAAAAAATGATTCCCTTACCTGCAGTGGATCAACTGAGACACCCCACAGAAAGACAGAGCAAGCAAGCGTGACAGACAGACAGAAAATAAAAGAGAAGAAGACAATTGACGCAATAGCACGGGTCAGCATGACTGAATGATCATCAATTCCTTGGTAACTTACATAAACGGATCAAGACATCACTTCCGTAATTTGTGTTAAGGGTTGTACAAGTCAACAGACTTCATATGACTGCAAAGTAATCACACTGAAAGGATCGATTCGAGACAACAGTGAACGTAACCAAGATGGGAGAACTGAAATGCAGATGTCCGAAAGGTAAGATTTCCATATTATTACTGTACAAATGTTTTGAGATCTGGGTTGTTATCCGTTTATTTATATATATATATATACACACAGTAGGGAAAATATTAATTTGATCCCCTGCTGATTTTGTAA